TATATAAAGTTCTTAACTTCTCTCTTAGCTTAAAAATTATAGCATTAAAAAAAAAAGGCTAGACTAGCCTATATAAAATTAAAAGTATTAAAAAAAAATATTATTATTAAAAGAAAAAATAGCCTACTAAAGCTCTAATATACACAAGTTAAACTATACTATAAAAAAAAAACCTACTTATAATAAAAAAAATCTAGATAAACTAACCTTTATATAAAAAAAATCTTCTATAGAAAAGAAAAAAAAATAGCTTTATAAAAATGCTATAAAAGTAAAACTAGAGCCTACTATAGACTAAGCCTCTTAAGATAGCAATGCTGCACTAGTACAAAAGAATATAAATACTTAAAAAAGTAGAAGGTAAAGAAAACTAATATAAAGTCTAGATTAAGTATTTTTAACTTAAAAAAAGATAATTAAGCTTTATTTATTAAGCTTTATATAAATAGTATAATTATTATACTTAAAACACTATTTAAGAAATTAGACTGTATATAAAAGAGACACTTTAATTACTAACAGCAATTTTAAAGTTATAGCATATAATGTCTGTACGCAGCAGCAGCGTCGCGGCCTGGATACAAGCGATCGCGCACGAGCAGGATCACGTATCTATGTCACATGATGCTCGTGCGCGAACCTCTGTGCGCAAACATCTAGATATCCCCCTTTTCCTTTGTATAGAGGAAAGACAAGAGCAATAGAACTAGAAACATGTTGCTCTTACCTTACCTACCTTATACACTGTGCACACTGTACACTACTCTTACTCTTGCTACTTAAGTGCTTATACTATAAGCAGCTAGCTGTTAGAGCCTATTTAACACTAATTAGTAGTTAATTTAATTAACTGTAAATTAGTAAGAGTAATAATAAAGTACCTACACTTTGTAAAGTACTTTGTTTTGTTACCTATCCTCTAAGAAGAGTAACAACAGAGCACCTACGCCCTGTAAGGTACTTTGTTTAGTTACCTATCTCTTAAGATAGCAGATTAATCCTTTGCATTGTACAGCAAGCTCTGCTACTGTACAAAGTAAAGAGGAGATAGTGTAAGACGCACACTAAAGCTATTAAAGCTGCACAACCTAGCAGCTAGACAACAGCAGTACCTGCGCGATCCACTGCACAAGCAATTAACCCTACGCCCTGTAAGGCACTTTGTTTTGTTACCTATCTCTTAGGAAGAGTAACAATAAAGCACTTACACCTTATAAGGTACTTTATTTAGTTACCTATCTCTTAGGATAGCAGATTAATCCTTTGCATTATACAGCAAGCTCTGCTACTGTACAAAGTAAGAAGGAGATAGTGTAAGGCGCACACTAAAGCTATTAAAGCTGCACAACCTAGCAGCTAGACAACAGCAGTACCTGCGCGATCTACTGCACAAGCAATTAACCCTACGCCCTGTAAGGCACTTTATTTTGTTACCTATTTTTTAGGAAGAGTAACAATAAAGCACCTACACTCTATAAGGTACTTTGTTTAGTTACTTATTTTTTAATAGTGTTACAGTCTAGATAGTTATTGCGCATAAGAAGGACTATGTAACTATGTTATATAATGCTTGTATGTAAACCTCTATGCGTAAACATCTAGATATTCCTCTTTTCCTCTGTACAGAGAAAAAGACAGAGCAATAGAACTATAAACATGTTGCCTCTACCCTACCTACTTTGTACGCTGTGCACACTGTACACTACTCTTACTCTTGCTACTTAAGTGCTTATACTATAAGTAGCTAGCTAACAAAGTCTATTTAACATTTTCTTTCTTTACTTTATAGTTTATCTAGTTGTTAGCGTGTAGTTACAACTAGATAGCAGGTAGGCCCTCTAGGTAGAGTTCTATCTATAATATTATTTCTGTGTAACTAGAACGCTTTTTAGTTATATTACATATAAAAGTAGCAGCAGGTAAAGAAGAAGCGCAAGTCTTTTAAAGTTCTATTAAAAAGTTTTAGTAGTGCTTGCTATACAGTTTTCTTTACTTTAATACTATTCTTTTTAGTAGCTGCATTTTAAAAGTTAGTAACTTACACTTATAAAGCATAAAGCTAAGGTGTAACTGTCTAAGCTATTTATAAAAGTATTTAAAAGTTTACCTAGCTTAGCTGCGCTACTGTCTATTATAAAGTAGCAATTTTTATCTAAGAGTAATAAGTTTACTAATATTTGCTTATAACTTTTAAACTTTTTTAACATTATTCTTAATGTTATTTATCTATTTAGTAAGAGCTTTTTTATTAAAGGTTAAGTTCTTAGCTAACTCTAATAAAGCTAAGCTAATTATATTAACATTACTAAAAGTTATAAAGGCTATACTTTGTAGAAAAAAAAAGTAGTGTTTAATGTTACAATTCTTACTCTCTATGCAGAGCATGCACCCCTATTAGGATGTGCATGATAGAGAGGAGTAACAGCTAGATGTACAGTCCTTTATCTACTTAGGTATAAAAGAGGGGAAAAGAGTAGCTAGATTATAGTTTACTCTATTACAGCAGTATAGGTGCGCTTAGTTAAACAGTCTAGTTAGACAGGAAGAAGAGTATATATAGAGCTAGATATATAAATAGTATTACAGCTCTTTAGAAAGCTAAATGCTATTTTAGTTTTTGTAAAAAGATAAACTAAACATTAAATACACTATTCTAAAGATAGTAGATTAGGGTAACTATATACATTTTTATACATCTTTTCCTTGCAGCTTTTCTAAAAACCTAGCAGCCCTTGCTGCTATGTTTAGGATCTTGCAGCAGTGTCTACTAACCTTGCAGCTACGTCTACTAGGTTCTGCTAAGCTGTGCAAGGTCTTGGCCCTGCTTCCTACTAGATGACGCACTCATCCGTCGGTGTCGGTGCTCTGAATTGGTCTGTGGCTTCCGGGCCAATCGGTTGCCAAGCCGTAAATGGTTCCCATGCCGATTCGTCAAGACTTTGGAGCACTTGAGGTGGGGTTACGATGGTCCAACCGTAGACCGTAACACTGCGATCGCTGCGATCCCTAGCGCTTGCTTCCTATTAGGTGAGGCAGTTGCTAAGGACGGCCCTCTCCCACTCAGCATCATATACCTCCGCCCAGTCACGTGGTCCTACCGGGTGGTCCTGATGCGTATCGTCCGATTCTTCGCTTGACAGTGGGGCATCCTCCGGGCTTGGTCCCGCGGTCTAGTTATAGACTATAACAGTAAGCTCTGCTTTTATAGATTATTTATAAACTATTGTAGCATTTTAATTATCTGCTTTTTATTATTGTCTAGCTTCTATAAGTTAGCTATAGAATTAGCTTATAAAGATTGTCTAGCGCGTTTGTTATTCATTATCCTTTAAGAGACTCTGTACATAGCTGCAGCATATTACTTTAAAAGTATTGCGTCTTAAAAGCCTAAAGTGTAAGCTGTATCTAACATTCTTTTAGCGTGTTTAAGTTGTGTTGTTAGGAATGCATTAGTGTAGGAAGGGTGGTTTAGTGTAGGAAGGGTGGTTTAGTGTAGGAATGGTGGTTTAGTGTAGGAATGGTGGTTTAGTGTAGGAAGGGTGGTTGAGTGGGGTCTTGGCAAAAGTAAGCAACTCAGGTGTGTGAGCAACTCGCCCATAGTGTACGTTACCCCGCGGTAGCGCTTTAATAGTGTAGAGTGACAACAACTAAATTTTCTTGCTGTTGCACTATTATTAGGCTTTTCTCTAAGCTTTAGGGATTTAAACAACGCCAGCGCGGCCTTAATTGGGTCCATATTGGTGGAGATAAGCTTCATTGAAAAGTTGATGGATTTTGGTTATGTGTGCGTTACGAGGGGCCGTGCGTTAAGCGACGAAATACGGTACACCGTGTCTTGGCAGGCCCTTACTTTTGCGAAGCACCTTCGTATACTACACCCGTTCACCTCGAGGTCCTCCCGATGCTACAGCCGGCGGAGCATGGAGCAGGTCGGGTTCGATGGGGGACTGCGGGCCGGTTATGGTCAGGAGCGTTACTATTCAGGCCTGCATTGCTCGGCCATTTGGCGGCGTGGAGGACGTGAATGTGGACAGCTAAGTCGAAGCTTGCAAACACGCACCATTCTTCCTTGTGTGGGCGTGGCAGGCGGCATGTACCGAAGCTAGTCCCTTGGCAGGTCACGTGCTGGCTTGTTCCACTTGTGTCCCCTCACTCCTGCTTGGCATGTACCGCCTTTTTATCTTGAGTGGATTGATGGAAGTAAAGGTTGACAGCTAAGTTGAAGCCTGCAGCCGCTCGGCAATCTTCCGCTGTGCAGCTGTGCAGGAGCGGGTGCACTTGCGGCAGGTGCCCGTCGCTAGAGTCCATCAGCCAGTCACCTGCTTTGCCTGTCCCCGCGGTCTTTACCTACCCCTCCTAGGTATGTACCCCCTCCTCAGCTAGCCATCCATCCCCTCTATTCCGCCACCCCCATCATCCCCTCTATTGTTATGTGTCCTCGCCTACGACTGGCGGCGACATCGTCCCAAGCACCGCACTCCTTACAAGGTTTCAATGGCTTAGCTGAACAAGTACAGCTCCATCATAGCTGATTCACCGCTGCTAGGCTTCTTCCTTTTGCTCGTATCTCGTCACCCGCATCTCCGCCAACAATATTCCGGAATGAAAGGCCAAGACGGTCTACAACCAGTAAACAGCACTACTCCCACTGAGCCCCGACGGTCATTGCCGGTGTGATTCAAGGTGGCTTGCGGTCATGTATTGGGACAAAGGCCCCTGAAGCAAGACACGCACCAAATATGCTGCAAGAACGAATCATTCCAGCATGCCAATCTCTCAGACGGTGTGATATCTTTCTGCCACTCTGTGGTCGACTTCAGCTAGAGATCCGGCCAAGAGGTCGTGTTTGGTGCTAACGCCCAGTCATCTTAGTCGTTTTGTACATATATAAGACGGGTTGGTTAGGACCCCAACATGCCCTCACCGCGCACAACATCTCCAATTGAATACTGCCCCCTTTTTGCACATCATTGTCGAGCACTTCCATCCCAGAAAACACCATGGAGAACATTCCAATCCCTGATGGCGACACCCTCGTGTGGCGTGCGTACGGAGAGCTCGTCAAGAAGTCCTTAGTAGGCTCCAATGTACCCACCCTAGGCGTTGACTACATCTTCGTCTGTCCACCCACCGAGTTTGGGATCCGTGGCGGTAGCGCAATCCCAGATGCAGTGACGAACTGGAACATCTCCAAGGTTGCCGACTCCCTCCAACGAGCCGATTCCCCTCTCTTCGTCGTAGGTGCCGACGGCAGCTATTACACATCCCTGCAAGCGTAGGTCACTGATCATATCTTGCATTCCCGACACCCTCGAAAACTAATTGAAGCCAAACGCAGGTACCTCAATGCGGTCAAGGTCAAAAAAATCACGCCTGAACAGGAACAAGAGATCGACGCAGCTATCACAAGGCAGGCCAAGCTTGAGGACGAGGCCACGACCATGAAAGAGCAGGCAGAGGCTAAGTGGGCTAAAGATAAAACTGCTAAGAAGAATAAAGTCAGCTTCCAGAAGTGGGCAGTTGCCAACGCGCCGTCATACCTTGCCAAGAGAAAGCAAGTCCAGCAAGCGGCCGGCCAAGTCCGCCTCCTCCAGTCCAAGTACTACGGAGCCGTAGCAGCTACCCTGCAGACCCAGATCTCAAAATTGGAAGTGTTGGCTGGAGATGACACCCAGAGCAATCCTGGGTACGCAAGCAGAGCCGTTCAATGCCATCATTCTTGCTAACCTGCCGCACCAGCTTTAACATGCCGTGCTACCTACCCGACTACCAAATCGATCCACAAGCCCTGAAAAACGGTCTCCGTGTCGAGAATCTCGAGGCCTCAAGCCTTAACTACAGACCACTGTACGCCATCGAGGGCTACGAGAAGGCATGCGACGACTGGATCAAGGGCGTTTCTGGAGCAGACACGACCTGGACCTTCAACTTCCAGAGCGTGTCCCACAATGACTGGACCAGCCTGGGACATTCCACCAAGATCTCTCGCCAGTCCAATTCCTTCTTCTTCTTCTTCAGCAAAACTAGCAGCACTTCGACCAAGACCACCAATCTCGATTTCGGCTCTACAGACTGGCAGAAGCAAACGTCGATTACCCTCCGAGCAAAGGGCCCAGTACAGACTTTCAACGTCACCGCTGGCTTGTGGTAAGCAAATCGCGATCTCACATCTCATATACTGTAGGTACGCGCCCCTCCCGCTAACCAGATGCTCCAGGGACGTCCCCGGCGTGCGCAAACTCTACCCGACCCTCCTACAGGGCGAAAAAGACACGGCGCACGACTCGATCAAGCTCAACAAGATTTGCGTCGGCTACCAAGTCTCAGTGACGATCAAATTCGCAGAGTCCCTGCGCAACCAGGTCCGCTCCATGTATCAGTCGGCGACATCCACGTCCGACTCGGGCCTCCGCATCCTCGGCTTCCAGTTCGGCGCCGGAGAGTACGGGAATACGTCGGTGTATCGCGACATGAAAGACCTCAAGTACAATGAGAACAGCAATGAGTTCACGCTGCCCCCGAGTCCTGAGGGTTGTCCTGTGTTGTTGGGATTGCTGGGCAGGAAGCTCGGGGCTTGATTGCGTGCCACGTAACAGACATGCTGACTAGCTGGGACGAGTTCTGGAGCGATGACAGCGGCCGGAGCTTGCACTTGCGGTCCGTTTCCATTCCTTTGATAATAGCTGCTATGACGATTCGAACATGCAAATATGCCTGCTTTCCCACTCTTTAGATAAATAACGTATTCCACCATCGAGTAGCCAACATGTGAGCTATTTCGGGCACGGCTCCGCTCGCTTAGGAGCTTATATATTCTCTCAGTCGATATCTTCCGTAGTTCCATTAAGATATCCTATTTGGCTCACAGTTGTAAGCTCGATCTACGCTGCGTAGACGCAATTAGTGCAACTTGCTCTGCTTATATTTTAAGTTTTTAAGAACGCTAGCTTTTCTTTAGGCTTAATATAGTAACTAGACTCTTCTTTTTAGATAAATTAGAGTTATTTATTCTAGAATTTAAAAGACTTTTAGTAATGTAGTACAGGTAATACTTTAACAAGCAGGTTCTTAATTGACTTTCTAAAAAGTATAATATATAGTGTATAGTATACTACAACTTGTAATTTAGCGCAGCCTACATTAAAGTGTTACGACCACTAGTTGGGCTAGAGGAACATGCCAAGCCTCTAACCCTACAGAAGAAGGATAGACCGACGCTGGTGAGGGCACAGCACACGGGAATCATGTGATAATCTAAAGTATCTATAGTATAATTGCAAGGCTTAGCAAATAATCGCAGTGATCGCATGCGATCACTGCTTAAAACCTGCAATTAGTGCGATCTTAGGTAGGTATATAGTCTCGCCCTCCCTCTACTTTCTAGAAGATTGTAGTTATTCTAATCTTTAAAGCACAGCCTTACGTGTAGCAATATATCTAATATTCTTTTTAATATACAGTGTGTAGAAGATTGTTTCTTATTTATAAAAGACTAAAGCTACTTAGTTAACATACTTTATAGGCGAGTTGCTTACACACACACCTAAGTTGCTTACTTTTGCTAAGGCCCTACTAAACTACTCTTTCTACACTAATGCATTTCTAATAACACTACTTAGATGTGCTAAAAAAAATGTTAAATACAGCTTATACTCTAAGCTTTTAAATAAAATGTAAAACTCTTAAAGAAATATGCTATAGCTATGTATAAAGTCTCTTAAAAGATAATAAATAACTAATGCGCTAGATAACTTTTATAAGCTACTTCTACAGCTAACTTATAAAAGCTAGGTAATAAAAAGAAGTAGGTAATTATTAAGAACATACTTAAGCTATATGCGTAAAGATTTTCCTCTTAGATAGCATTTATAGCTAATATAGCTGATTTTTTACACGCTAAGCATAATCTAGGCTATATTAGCATAAACTAGGCTAGTATGTTTATAAAGCATTATCTAAAGCTTAAAGTAAAGTTTTAAGTGTAAGTATAGTTAATAAATATTTAGCCTATTATAAAGCCTATTTTACTAAAGTTGTACATGTTATAATTCTAGATGCTATACTTAGCTTTAATATTCTTTATAAGGCTAAACTAGCTTAAAATTACTCTAGAACTCTTATAAAAAGCTTTTTTATAGTTATACTTACACTTAAACTTTACTTTAAGCTTAAAATAACACTTTATTAACATACTAGGCTAGTTTACGCTAATATAGCCTAGATTACGCTTAGCACGCAAAGAATTAGCTATAAACGCTATAAATGTAATCTAAGAGGAAAATCCTTGCGCATATAGCTTAAGTATGTTCTTAATAATTACCTACTTCTTATTATATCCCAGCCTTTATAGGTTAGCTATAAAATTAGCTTATAAAAGTTGTCTAGTGCCTTAGTTATTTATTATCTTTTAAAAGACTTTATATATAGCTGCAGCATGTTTCTTTAAAAGGTTTGCGTTTTATTTAAAAGCTTAGAGTGTAAGCTCTATCCTGTAACAATCCTTATAAATTGTTCTATATTAGGTGGTCTAGAAGGCCCTTGTATTAGCTCTGACCCTACCCTAGCCCTAGCTCTGCCCGGCCCTCTGCTGTTACCCCTATTCCCTTATGTATTTAGTCGCGCCTCTCCCCTGTAGCTAGCTTAGTAGTTTTCTAATATTCTTTCTACAAGGCCTATAGGCGTTAATAGAATTCCTAGGTTATTAAGTCCCCACGCACTTCTATATACATCTAAGTAGACTTCTACATTTAGACCTATTTTCTTGCCTACGCTATTACATTATATTAGAAAACTTACTTTTACTAGTAATTGTAATAACAAGCAGCACCGTCACAGTAATAGCTTTATTATAATATTATAAAGATTCTTTATTTAACTATGTCTTAGCCTAAAACATGTCTAATTTAGTTTAGGTTATAACTCTTACACACTATTATATTAAATTACTTAGTTATATAAACTAAATCTTATTAACCTTTAGTTAACTAAAGTCTTTAAGTTTAACACTTTTCATTCTCTAAAATTAAAATTACTATTAAAAAAGGTATAAAAAGACGCTAAAGTAAAAACTTAAAGACTACTAATAACTTATTAAAATTAAAGATAACTGCTAATGTTTAACTAACTACTCTTCTTCTCTCTAAATTCTAATCTAAGGATTTATAACCTACTCTAGCCTTAGCTAAGGCAAGATGCTTACTACTAAAGCTAAATAATAATAGCTAAACCTATCTTTATAGAATCTAAAGCTAAAGACCTACTTAATTTAAAGTTAAACTATAGCTAACTTAGTTAAAATTATTAACTTCTACTAACTACTAAATTACTTTTAATAATGCCTGAAATTACCTCTACTACTTTAATAGCAAGAGACTTTTTAGGCACCGTTAATAATACCTAAATGTTACCTTACTAAACACACGCCTAAGATTAATAACTGCATAAATAGTAAGAAATAATTAGCTAGACATTTATATAGATTAATATTAGAGAAGGCGCGCACGCATAGTATTTAGTTTAGAGAACACTGCTAGCAGTGTAAAGGAATACTTAGTAAGGACACCTAGCTAAATTAGACTAGTTTTTAGTTTTTAAGAAGGTAGAGAATATAGCAGTAATACTTCTACCTACTAATAGAGGCTATTAGTCTATAGAGAGGGGAGTAGTGTAATAATCTTTATAAATTGTTCTATCTTAGGTGGACTAGAAGGCCCTTGTATTAGCTCTAACCCTACCCTAGCCCTGGCTCTGCCCAGCCCTCTGCTGTTACCTCTATTCCCTTAGGTATTTAGTTGCACCTCTTCTCTGTAGCTAGCTTAGTAGTTTTCTAATATCCTTTGTACAAGGCCTATAGGTGTTAATGGAATTCGCAGGCTATTAAGTCCCCACGCACTTCTATATGCCTCCAAGTAGACTCCTACCGCATTTAGACCTATTGTCTTGCCTGCGCTGTTACATATCTAACATTCTTTTAGCGCGTCTAAGTAGGTTGTTACAAATGCATTAGTGTAGGAAGAGTAGTTTAGTAGGGTCTTAGCAAAAGTAAGCAACTTAGGTGTGTAAGCAACTCGCCTATAAAGTACGTTATATAAAAAATTAAAACTAGTTTTAGTATAGCATTTTAATAAAACATTTTTTTTTACTAAATTTTTTACTATTTAAAAGATTAGCTAACATCTTTTTATAGCTATTAGCTTATTACTAATAGAATTATATAGTATGCTCTATAAACTTTAAGATATTCCTTAAGCGTATGTATAGTCTACAGACACGCTGCTTTGCACGCTGTATGCTACCCCCCTGTTACAAGCTATTAGGGTACGTAAACGAAGAGCAGGGGTGGCTCTCAACACCTAAGGACTAGATGGTTCGGAATGACAACGTCACGTGGCGAGGTCACATGACGTTAGCAAGTCGCAGCTAAGGAAGTCGTCGCAGCTATCGCGATCAGGGAGTGCGACCTTCTAAAAGTCTACGATGTCTAAAACAAGCCTTAGATATATATACTTAGCAACAACTCTTCTTTAGAAGTTGTTGTTAATCTTTAAACAGATAGTACAGTAGCTTACAACAGTGCTGTAACGAGGTCGGCACAGTTAACCACGTGGCCTTCTCTCGCTTATAGAGGTTTAGGCTAGGCTAGAGACAACCGCTAGTGCTAGTGCTTACCCTAGCATTGCCTATATATATATTATACTATGTAAGAATACTTAACTTAAGTATTCTTGTGCGTACCTTTTAGTACAGTAGGGAAAGTTGTATAGTATTAGCTTAGCAGGCGGGGCGCCTACCTTATTACAAGTGCTATATAATTATATCTTGTTACTCTCTTAGTAGAGCGTTATTCCTACCAACCCCTCTTATACTTTTAGAACAAACAAAATACGTGACTAACTTGCAGACACCTGCTTAGGCTGCATAGACTATACACCTGTAGCCTCTAAGATAATCTAAAATCCGCTAATCTATACATTCTATAGTCTAGTACCACGTTACTTATTTATGTAGTAAGTAATGTAATATTAATAACTAATTCTTACTTCTAAAAAGTATAAACTTTTAACTAAACCCTCTTAATATTAAGATAGAAAAAGTAAACTCTTTAGGCAAAAATATAGAAACCTATGTAAGAAGCTAAGAAGAAGAATTAACTAAGTAAATAAATAATCTGCAAGTCTAGTTAGCAAGTGTTGCGTTTTGCTAAAATGTTAACCTTCTAGCTAGCACAGCAGAAGGATATATATAGACGGATAGCTGTACGCGACAGCAAGTATATAGAACATAGTGTTAGAATAAAATGTTACTTAAGCAAAATAGGCTATTAGACTAGCACTACTTAAACTATTTATAGGGGATCTAAGAGATCTACGCCTATTCTTTACTAAATGCGCCTAGTATACTAATTATAATAAAACTCTATTTTTAAATAATAAAGACACTATCTAACAGATAGAGCTATAATTAGATAGAGACCTAGCATTATAGTTTTAACACTATTTAGATAACTAAAGAGCTTATAGAGATTTAAAGCAACCTTTATTAAAAACACTAGCTAAATATTCTTAATTGTAGAAGCATT